ACTTTATCAATCGCGGAAATGAAATGCGTGCTTCAGGACGATACGAGAAAAAAAAAAAGAAAGAAAAAAGAAAAAAAAACACAAGAAAAATAATGTGATTCGAACTATCGTTTCAAGACCACCGACGAAGAAGAATCTCTAGGTAAGGAACCGAGTGAAACACGAAAAGTCGATTTCCTGATAGTACACCGACTCGATTCGTTCAAAGGAAATAGATTTCTTTATGGTAAAGTACTCGTTTCGCCATTTTTTAACGTAATTTCATTTTTTTTTTTCTAATCATTAAATTTAAAGAAAGATAAGTAATTCGTAGATATAACTGATAGAGTTAATCGTTAGATTTATAAATTGAATATTAAGCATTAATTATTCAAGACAGAATAAGCAATAGTTTATCGACAGGAACTGGGATTTCTCTTGTTTTTAGCGAAACAAGGAACTCGTTTGGGGAGGGGGAAACGGAGGGAAACGATAAGAACAAGCCCTGTTGAACTGACAGGGTTAATACAGTGGGGTGTATAATGTTGTATAGGGAGATGTAGTGCATTGGAATACAATGAACTGGCTAGCTTGTAGAGGTGCAGTGTTTCAATCTTTGCATTTATACCGGACAGCTTATTACTCCGAGAAATCCGGCATTGAGAGGGGTCACGAAAAGCTTGATAGTTAAGTTCGATTTGGATATACAAGGCCGAACTTGCACGCAACTTCATTGATATGCTCGCTTCAATTAATCCTCTCTCTCTCCCTCTTACGTGCTAGATTTAACCTACCGTGTACTTGATTTATGATACTACACGATTTCGTGCTCGATGCAGCCCGCGTTGTTTGTTGCGCAACAAGACCCAACCAGACCTACAACGTTCCTATTTACATCTCGACAAAATGCTCCAAATACTTGGGATGCGCGTCACCAAAAACGAACGAACGAACGAACGAACCAACGAACGAACCAACGAACATACTCAACCCTCCAACGAATGAATCCTACAATCGATCGAATACCAACTATATATTTTCTATTTAAGTAGCTTTTTAGTATTCCATGAATAAATCCTTACATTTCTATCCTTTAAATACTAAACCATGTGCTACAATATTTAAATATTATATCAAATTTATAATATAAAAGAGTTATACAAAAATATTCACGAATAATATGTTTTCAGTTTAAAATTACTTTTCAAAGTATTAACCGAAATAATTGAAACATCATATACTAAATCTGTTACTTACAACCAATACGACATTACAAAAATTTGATATCACAAATGATTGTTACTTTGTCCGAATTGTCAATCAGTTTTTTTGGGATAATCAATTCTTAATCCGTAAAATTCCAATACTAACATGTGTAGACTGTTAGGAAATAGGGAATGAGAAAATAGAAAGAGATAGAGATAGAAAGTACGTGCAATCATCAATCTCGCCTAGTTCTAGTCGAGTGGCACTAATTCAGTACCCTTGTCTCCGATCTCCTTGTCAAGTTCCAACTTCGTATATACTCTTAGCTCTCCCTCTTCAACCCCTCGCTGACTCCAGCCCTCCCCCAGCAACCTAACCACCCACCCAGCCACCTCCCTTTAACCAATGTGTTGTAGGAAAGACAGGGAAGGCTTTCCGTTCGATCTGGGATCCAAATAAATAGGAGGCCATACATCACGCTTGAAATCGGAGTTCCACGATCGAGTCGGATCGTCGCCTTACCCGTTTCTACGTGGATAGAACTAAAACACGTACGACCTTCTCCTTCCTTCCTTCCTTCCTACCTTTACTCCTCCCTTTTTCCCTTTTCTTCACTTTTTCAAGTAATCGAAACGTATCCGAGAGTTATCAGTGTCACGCGGTATTATTCTTAAACTTAACTTCTAAAGTAATACTCTGTTCTTATTTTTCTTGTTGCTTTTTTTTAATTTGTTCATTGATATATTGATATCGAATCATTATTATGTTATGCGTTTATAATCAAGGGACGACAGTTAGTTAAAAGGGATTTTTGTTAATAATAAAACAAAATGAAAAAAAAATATTGTTATATATAAAGAAGTAATATAATTCGTATGAATATATACTCGAATATGTGACAAAACAAAACTGAGAATAATATTAAAATTGTATTAAGGAAAATATTAGAAAAAAGTTATGATCGCATAAACGAAATGGTGATAATTCGAGAAGAAAAGAAAAGAAAAGAAAAGAAAAGAAAAGAAAAGTAAAGAGAAATAAAAAAGGGAAAAGGAAAATGGACAAAGGTTGAAAGAGAGGGCGAAGAAATGGAACAAGTCCCATTCATTCAGGGTAGCTACGGGAAACTGACAAAACAGTTGATACGCTATGATATAGCTCTCTTCCAACCATGGACGTTGGAATACGAACGAACGTGCAGCTGAATATATATGAGCTACCAACGGCGACATAGAAATAGAAAGAGAAAGAGAGACTCAAATAGAAAAAGAACCCAAACGCAAAAAGGAAAAAGAGAAAAAGGGAGAGAGAAAAAAACAAAACAGATAGGGAGAGGGAGGGAGAGAAAGAGAGAGAGAGAGAAAGAGAGAGAGAGAAGAAAAATAGAAAAAGAAAAGGAATACAATTGAAAGAGAAAGGAGGGGTTGGTTAAGGGTGGAGAGATGTAGAAGGGGTCATGGAAAAGTTAGGAGCACAGGGTTGAGAGAATAAGAATAAGGGGACGGGAGGACCAGGGAAAATATGTGAAACCATTGGGCAGAAAAGTGTAGACGGTTTCGAGAAAGAGAAAGAAAGAGAGAGAGAGAGAGAGAGAGAGAGTGCGTGAGAACGGAAAAACGTCATCGGAAGATCCTGATTTACAGTGGCAGGAAATCGGTGCGGTGAACTTTGTGCCCTCTCTCTCTCTCTCTCTCTTTCTCTGTCTTTTTTTCTCTCTCGGTATACGTGGGAGCCAACAAAATATTTTTTTTCTCTCACTCTCGTGTGGCTTTCGACGGCAACGACCGACGATTAAAACGAGGAAAGGAATAAAACAAAAAAAAAGGATTAAAATAAAAAGAGATAGAGAGGGATAGGGGAAGGGAAAAGGTAAAAGTCCTGAACCTTTAATGTATCTCCGAACAGCAGCAGCAGTGCAGCAGTGCAGCAGTGCAGCAGCAGTGCAGCAGCAGTGCAGTTTCTGCTATTCGATATGTCGCTTTATGATCGATTTCCATTCGATCTCAAAATTGTTCAAAACTCTTTACAATCGATTGAAATTATTTTCGTTTATGATATATATGTTCGAAATTAATTTCTAATTAATAACATTACGTTTCTTTAAAATATAGATTTGTTTCGTGCCAATTATTAAATGTTAACATAAGAAATAGATATGTTCCAAGTTTGATAGATGTTCAAATATTCACGAACCAAATGGGTTACATCGATTTCTTGCCATCAAGATACCATTCCCATTTTATGATTGATACCAGAATTAAAATTCAATTGTATAATTATATATATATATATATATATGTATAATGAATTTCATTTTCAAGATGTTACGCGTCCGTTCTATCGTCGACATAAAAATGTGTGTGTCCTGGGGTATTCTAGTTATTTTAATAAATAATTAAAAACAAAAAATGTAACTTCCAGGAAATATTACTTCTGGAAAAATGTTTAGATTCTTTGATTCAAAAGTCATTGACCATGATAACTTTTTCAGATATAGGAGGTCAGGTTTTTATACTTTATTATTATGAATGATATGTGATATATAAATTTGTTTCATTTTATTTGTTCTTTCTTTTTCATTTCTTCCTACATGATGAATCACGTTGAAAATACGGTAAATTATAAGACGCGTTTACGAGGCGTAAAGCCAGTTTATAGGCCCATCCTTTAAATCATGACAGTAACACAATGCTCTAGGAAGACGAGAGCCAGTTCTAAGGTAATTTTGGCCTTTGAAATTCTCGAAGCTAGCCTGTAACGACTTTCATCCGGCACGGCAAATAACTATGCAAATTCTACCACCGGGGTTACCTAAGTACGAAGCTTTCTGATGATGGTGCCTTACTCTACTTGTTCTTCGTTGGCCCCATCAGGAAACGGACCCATAAACGCACGCACGTTCAAAATCGTGCCAACCATTTTCTTCTATCCTATCTTTTGATTTTTACCACGCGTTCAATATAACTAATGTATTATTTCTAAATAATTTAAATCTCGTTTCTCCTGGTCAAATGGTTGATTATTTACAGGATCAATGTTTCAATATGTATTTTATAATTTTAATGATTACTTTAGGAATCGGTACTCATTTCTAACTTGATAAAAACAAAGCTGAGAGTATGATATGTTGTTTTGAAAAATATTAAGAACAACTAACCACACGATACGTGTTAAATATTAAATATCAAATAGGATATATAAATTTGTTGAAAATTTTTATTACATTTGATATTCTTCGTTAGCAATTTCCCAATAATGTTGGAAGACGTATCTTGAAGCCATATGCAGTAATATAATCTCTAGTCGTGCGAATTTGATGTATATAGAACACTTCGAATGTGCACGCGTCGTAGGAATACGTGCGGGTGATGAGCAGAATTCAGAATTACGGAGCATTTGCGGCCAAGTACGATATCTAATCGGCAAAGGGTGAATCACAATAGTTAAAGGGAACCCCTATCACCTTTAGGGTACACGAAACATTCGATAATAGTCGATACCTTAATCTGTTTGAAATATACTTTGACCGAATTCAAGGGAAATTTATTCTCATAACACATTGTTATTTATCAAATAATTATAATAATTTTAAAAAAACATCGAGACTTTCAATAAATTTATAACAATTATCTTAAAATATGTAGTATAAATCAATATTAATGGAACAAATAAAATTTGATTAAAGTTGAAATTAAATTTTGTTCTAATTGAATTATTATTGCTAGTTGTTCTATACTTTATATGAATATTATTTATTAATGCAAATACTGTGACTTTGTTGTTATTTAAACGTTTGATTTTTATTAAAAACTCACTGTGTGGGGTGACCAATGATGCGGCCAAGTTTTAGTTTCGTGTCCACTGCCATCCACCGTTTGACTCGTTAAAAAAACAACCCTTCTATCGGTACTACCGCTTCCGGTACCGCTCGTAGTTAAAAGAGCAGCTCTGGCTCTTGATCCGCCAATACTTAGAGTCGGTGAAGTATCCATTTTATTTCTGAACAAATAAATAAATCACTTTTTACTGTATACCCAATGTTTAAAAACTGACAAACATTTTTTTTATTAATATTACAACTTTCATCATTTTTAATAATCAAATTCGAATAATATTAAATTCGCTATTGATTCTCGAATAATAAATAAAACAAATCCTAGACAATGAGATATAAAATAATAGTAATAATTAAAATAGTAAAAACACATTGGATAACGAATTAAAATGTCTACTAAAAAATTTGGATGATAAAAATGTTTAATGATAATTTTAAAATCCTATCTTTTTCATTACTTCAATTTCCTTCGATTTCATTAGTATCGATGATTGCACGTTAATTAAAAAAGATATCGTTGTTGCTAAAAGATACTCGTTATATTATAGGAAAAATCGATAATAACAAATCAAGAACGATTGCTTTACCAATCCTAAAAATAATTTCATCTTAATGGAAAAAATAAATGGAAAAAGAACATAAGTAACAAGATTAATTAAAGGATTTCAGGATATTTCATTATCAATAAGAAACTTTCGTATTCTTCTCGATAAAATAAAAAAAAAAGAAAGAAAAAAAGATAAAAAGAAAATTTTTACTGATAAATCCGAAACGTTCGAAATGAACTATATTTTGCTTCCTTACGTACTTTTTGGCGTGATAAGTAGGCAAACTAGATTCGACTCTGAATTCATTGAAAAATAACGAGCTCCGTCAGTTTCGGATTGCGCATCGAATAAAATTCCAAAGAAATTTGAAATACTCTCGCGTATTTTTCTTTCTTTTTAATATGCCCTTTTTTCGCGTTCTTCGATATCGTAATTACGTCCATAAAATGTTATAATCAATTTATTATTTATTCCCAGAAAAAAGAAAAAAAGAAAAAAATCCCACCAAGAGATATCATACAAAATACACATCTTATTTTATCACAATTAACAATAGATTTAATTATCGATTTAATGATTATATTCGTTTCAAAATCATACGAGATACAAATATTTCAATTATTTCACATCAATTAAATTAAAATGACTCTTTAATTTTCTCATCGATATATTTTATTACTACGAATTATTATTATTTCGAAAATCATTCTATGATATGCATAAACAATTTATTTAAGCGTAACCTCGGCTAAGAATACGAAACCAAATGGCGTTCGAATATCAAACAATTTTTCGTAAAATAAAATAAAAACAAAACAAAAAATATATATATATGTATATATATATGAAAATTCAGTATATGGGTACGTTTAAAAAACGAACGGCATAGGAATATTTTGAAATTACGATTGGACCATGCATATCACGAAGCTATTAAAAGTTTATTCGTTCCATAAAGTTATATAACGCACACCGGTGTTCCAAATTACATTACGTGTCTCTATACCCCCTTCCCCCTTCCTCGTGCCTACCACCACCCACCACTCCACCCTTCCTTCTTCTTCTTCTTCTTCTTCTTCTTCTTCATCTCTTTCTTCTTCTATTTCTCTATGGGAAATTTACTTTCAAGATCTTGACTCTAAAGTTGCGATACTTGTTCGATAATAATCTCGGTGAATCGTCACTTTCCACAACTCGAATAAATGCACGTGTGCACCACGTAATCCAAATATAAAACTAACTAAAACGTCTCTCTCTCTCTCTCTCTCTCTCTAAAGTTAACTCTGAATAAATATTTAATTAAATAGAAAATATATATTTTAAAAATTAAATTAAAAAGATTAGATACATTTTTAAGATAATAATCTTAGTGTAAAAACGATATCTCTCTGAAGTAAATAACGATTAATTGTTCTTTTTTTTATTATTATTTATCTTTTTCTTTTTCTACTTAAAGACAAAAGAAAAAGAAAATAAATGATTTAGGATTTTTCTCGATGAGAGGAGGATTTTAAAGGATCGTCAAGGAAGATCATTAAGAAGATAAATGTTAAACCGCGACCGGAAACGCATCGTGAAAATAAATTATAGTACTACGGATATACTTAAAAGAAACAAAAATGTAAAGATAAAAGAAGGACAATGGGCCATCGGTATAATAATAATAATAATAATAATAATAAAAGAGAACGAAAAAAAAAAAGGAAAAAAGAGAGAAAGAAAGAGAATATGGTAGGACACTTACTCCTTAATTAAATCCTGCCACGTCCCAGCGCTTTGGCGCGAAGAGTTGTTGCCGTTACGAGGGTCACTTTTTGTCTTCCTTTTTACTTTGAAAATTGCATCGAATGTGTTCCGATTCTTCCTCGATCCTTTTTTCGATTTCCTCTCTCTCTCTTCCTAGCTTTTTTATTTTTATTTATTTTCTTTCCTTCTTTTTTTCTAACTTTTTTTACTCAGTTACGATGCAACCACACGTCTTTATATTTTTCTATGTTTCGTTTTTGGTGTCACGCAGTCGTTTGCACAGGTAGCGTGCACCTTGTCATTATGGTACTTCCAATTATACAGGAAATGCTTTCTCTCTCTCTCTCTCTCTCTCGATTTAGGTGTCCCTCGAGCGTGCTCGAACGGAACTCAGGACCTTCCACCTCCAATCAGGAGTCATTACGCGCTGAGATTTCACGCACTAGATCGTCACGGGTGTTATATGCCGAAGTGCCACTTATCGGTTAGATCACCAGGAACGATGGGGGAAATGGAGAAGGTTCAGGGGATTGGTTCTGGTCATCGAAGTAGATCGAATTAATCAATTCACGAAAATAACACGATGGTAATCGTCTTTTTCGAATAAATCCGATTGAATTATTATCACTATTACTATTATTACTACTACTACTACTACTACTACATCTACTATTACTACCTTTGCAGAATTTATCTACCATTGAATCCTTTCTCTTTTTTGTTTGCTCATTCATTCGATCCAATTTCTATTTTCTTTTTTTTTTTCTTTTTATACCCTTCTAAAACCAACACACTTTCATTATTTCGAAAATGACAAAAGGAAAATATTAAACGCTTTTATTCGTGTATAGACAGATGTTGGATCGTTTTTTTTCTTTTTTTTTTCGGAAAATTTTCCGAGAAACAATTGAAACGAATCCGTGACGAGGATAAATTTCGTAGCCCTCTTTATTTATTTCTTTCGCGAATAATTTAGAATGAGATTTTTGATATAGCACACACCTTTGGAGGGAATTTAATTACACGAAGAATAAGATCTTATTTTCTTATTCTTTTTCTTCTTCCAACTTCTTCCATCGCCATTCTCTCGATCACTATTATTACTTTTTATTATCATACGAAAGATTTCCTCTCATTGGAAAAGCTTCGCATCACGTATACAAAAATAAACAATACGAACGAATAAACGTGCATTCGAAGAAAAAAATAAAAACGTGATCTTTCAAAAAACAACGTATATTATCGTAAACGTAAGAAAAGTTATACGAGTTTTGTTATTTAATAAATAAATGATCACTTTTCTCGACATATTTATATTGAATTTCATTAGAAATGAATTTAACAAAATAACAAATGAAAATAATACAAAATATACAAATTATTATACGAATAGGGGTATCGAATTTTCTTTAAAATATCGTCGAAAATTATTCTTATCGAAGTTTATTCGAAAATACGAACAATAACGACGGATTATTAAACGAACTATTAACTAACTAACTAACTAACTAACTAACTAACTAATATACAACAACGACAACGACGAGAAAACACAACGGACGAAGCGTCGCGTACGAAACCGCGCACGACACTGAACACCAGGAAGTCTCGCGCTAAAGGCAACCCTATCGCGGGTTCGCGGGCTCACGTGTGAATTTCTTGCGCATGCACCAACACCTACCTTCTCTCTCTTTCTCTCTCTCCCCCCCTTTCTTTTTTTCCGTTCCTATCATTCTTCCCGTTCTCCTTCAGGACACTTTACGTCCGTCTCCTACTTTTCGAGTCTTTGTCTACCTCCCTCCTCACCCCCTCCCTCCTTTCTCTCTCTCTCTTTTTCTTTCTATCAGTCTGTACCTTTTTCTCTCATTCTTGCTAAAACTATCCCTACTACTATACTTTGCATCCCTTTTTTATTCGATTTCTCATTTTAATTTCCCCCTCTATCGTGAATACTACTTTTATTTTAATTAAATCATTTTGATACATTTAATTACGAAATATTTAATAAATGTTAATAATAATAAATTCGCGCACAGAAAATAACGTCGATAATTATTTTCTAACCGTTTGATTTTATCTACGATATTGAAAAACCTAAAAATACAGAGAGAGAGAGAGAGAGAGAGAGAGAGAGAGAGAGAGAGATAGAAAAAAAAAATCCTCAACGCTTAATCGTCGTAGAAAATTTTCCAAGAGAATCCTTTCATGATTCGTGGAAGATCTCGACGTGAAGGGTTGGAAACACGAACGACGACTCGTAAAACGCGATTTTATGCCGGACTCGACAAATTGAAATATAAGACTCTCGTAACTCGGTCCTTGGCTTTCGTCTAGGGAAAATCCAGAAGACAGAAATTCCCTTTCTTTTCCTTCTTCTTCTTCTTCTTCTTCTTGGTTTTGTTTCCTTTGCATTGGCTGCTAGCCATCGACTACCAATCCTGTCTCTCCGTTCCTCCTATTCTTTTGTATTTCTCTTCAAACCCATACTTCCCACCAATAACATGAAAAAAAAAGAGAAAAAAAAGGGCTGCCCAACTACTTAACTTTCCTATATTGTGCATTTAAACGACAAACAAATTAAATCGGGGGGGGGGGGGGAGGCGGGGAGGGTTCCGAGTATCATATAAAAAATATAGACCACAGGTTACAGGTTGGAAAATTTTCGTATAAATTATTGCATAGAAATAAGAAAACTAAAATGTGCGACCTTTAACAAGAAAACGTTCGAAATCTTGAACTTCGAACGATTACAATTGCTAAGTTATAAGTTTAAGTGACGTTGGATATCACCTAGAGTGGATTATTCGATTAACAGAAAGCACTGGGTAATCTCCCCAGATGTTATCTCATCATTTTCGAAGACTCGACCGTCTTCAAATATCATGCCCTTCTTACATAATGTATAAGCGCAAAGTGGTTCTCCGATTCGTATAATTTATCGTCACAGAAATAGAGAGAGAGAGAGAGAAAGAGAAAGAGAGAGAGAAATAGAGATAAAGAGATGAAGGGAGACAAACCCAGGAATTCCTTTGAACGAACCCACCACCAATCCTACTGATTTATATTTAATCGAACGATTTTATCGTCTCCTATTCTATCATCCCAACCCCAACCCCTCTTTTATTCTACATCAAAGATTCTAATACCGTTTTAATACAAAGCCACCGACCAAAGATGTGTTTAACGGGAAAGGAAAACAAAAAATAGTGGGCCGAACGTACGAAAATAAAAAGACAAAAAGAAAACACATACGCACACACATATAAATATATATAGAAAAAGATGAGGAGAAAAATACGGGGTAAAGAGGGGGTGACGAGCATGCGAGTGGTGGTAGGGGAAAGAAGAAAAAGTTCAAGACAGATAAATAAAAGAGTCGCTGGAAAAAAAAGGGGTGGAATGTAAAAATTGAGGGTAAAGGGATGGGGTGTAGAGAGAGAGAGAGGGAGGAGGGGACACGATGGGAGGTGCGATTAAAAGAGACGAGCGCGCGTTTCGTGAATTAAAAGCGTCACCGTGCTAAAAGATCAAGAATTCCCTTGTGTTATTTTCAACCTTCTTTCTACCCCTTTTTTCTTTCTTCCTTTTTGTCCTTCTTTCTATCTCTCCACAACTCGTTCCTATCCTCGGTCCCCGTTCCCCTCCACCTCGCACTTCCAGCCTGAACCCGAGCCCTTCTACAAGGGAAGGGAAGGGGCGGTGAGCTTTTTCTTTCACGTAACCCTCGAGAAAATTTCTTGAAGCTTCATTCTCGTCTTCTTTCTCTTTATCTATCTCGTGGGACGATTGCGAAACGTAGAAAAAAAGAGAACAGAAATAGAGAATGAAGTAGAAGTAGAAGGAAGGAAGGAAGAGGGAGGTTGGGGAGTGTGGAAAAGCAAAAAAAAGAAAGAAAAGCAAGAAAGAAAGAAAGGAAAAGGAGAGAAAATATACGAAGGGTGTGGTGGGTGTATTCTCATTCCGATTTCTGCTTTTCCTCTATTCGCGTTCTCAGATTGAAGGAGATGCCTTTATGACCGGGTACCGCTTTATAGCAGCACGGCTTTGCCGCTATTATGCGTGCATCGGCGGCTGGTCGTTGGTTGCTTGGGGTTGGTGGGGGTGGTGGTGGTTGGTGGTGCTAGTGGTTGGATGGAAAAAGAAAAAAAAGAGGAAGAAGGGGTTGGTGTAGGTTGCGCGTTAATGGAGAACCCCTACTGCTTCCTCCCTCCCGCATCGTTGAACGAGCGTGGATTTCGGATAGTCGGGAATCTTGAAGAGAAAAAAAAAAGGAAGAAAAAAAAAGCGGCGCGTGGAGGAGGTAGGTAAAGAGTAAGAAAGGGGGTGAAAGTCTAAGGCGTTAGAAAGGTTGGAACGAGGAAGTGCTCTTTGGATTCCGGCATCGGCCATTGTCAGGATAACGAAGCCAAGGCAAGATTTCTCTCTTTTCATCGTTGCGCACCACACCAAAACGATATCTCGAATGAATGATCCTTCTTCGGGATCTTGAAAATTCTCTCTTTATCTCTCTCTTTATCTCTCTCTCTTTCCCCCGATCTTTCTCTTTCTCGATGCATCCTGCGAAAGATGCATCCATCGACCCGTAAATTTCGCGATGCTTCGTGACGTAGCAGGCCCGATGGATATCTACCCGTTTCGATAACGACCCTTCGAAATTAAACCCGTTGCTCTTCTTACCTCCCCATCCTATTCTAACCTCTCCCAAAATATATCTATATATATATCTATATATATACATAAGCATGTGTAAGTGTATACGTATGGATGGTTTGCGTCTCGAGAGTTGTTTTACGCGCATCGATACAATCGCTCTCGAGGTTGGAAGATTAATCGACGTATTTCCATCCTCGAACGTGGCTACCACCGATAAGCGTAAAGGAAAGTGAGTGAGTTTCCTACGACTGCGATACGAATATATCGGACAAGGTAATATCGATAGAAAGGCATCCGTAAATCCATTCCCTGAGTCTCCTTCCTACTTATAACTTCCTACTACTACTACTACTACTATTACTACTAGTAGTACAACTACTATTCGGTCAGATATACGAAAGAAAATGGTAATCTTTGTACGAAAAATTGTTGAACAGATAACATTGGATATTCTCTATACTATTGCATTTTTAGAAATAACATTTGTTTAACGATTGTTTAAATTTCTAAGATTCGTTTGCATTTGTTCGGGCTAAAAAAATATGAAATAACTGTTACGCGGTTTCTTTTGAATATCCCTTTTGCAGATAATAACAGTTACGTAAAATACTAAACGGACGAAATATGGGTGTATTAAAGAACGCGTGAAATAAAAAAATATAAAATGAAAAAAAAAAAAAGAAGTCTCGGCTTTTGAAGCTCCTCCGGAAGAAAAATAGAATGAGAGGAGTCCTACGGTACGGTGGTACGGTTTTTGAAACACATCGGAAAGGCTTATTACGCGCATTGCGCCGAGAACTTTACCTATCGCCGCTGGTACACTCTCGCATATTTTAAGCCGGCCATTTTTCAGCATTTGTACTATACATCCACGTCGAATTTGCATGAACCAACGATTCGAGGCTTGTACCGCAAAACTTTTGGTGTTTCTACGAAACCACTTGGAAAAGCCGTATGGGAAGACTTTTTTCCCCTAAACCCCCCCCCAGCCCAACCCACTTTTCTCTCTTTTCGCATCATTGTAAGTAAGTAAGTATGTAAGTATTTACGCACGCATACACTTGACCCTTTTAACAACAGTAAACGATTCCACTTTTTTATTCCGCCTTATTTTAAGCTTATTTCAGAAAAAAAGAATTATGACAGTTCATCGATTTACAGGAATGACTGAGGAAACATCGAAAATGATAATGTCATTGAATAAATTTATGATTAAGCATAAAACATTTCGAGGTTTTATCATTGAAAAATGATAAAAAATAAATTTCATGCTGGCAAATGAATTTTCTTCTTCATTTTCCCCTTATCAATCTCATTTTCTCTTCGTCCGAACGAATCGATGATACTTATCGTTAAAGAGAAATCAAATTAAATCAAATCAAATTAAATAGACTAAAAAATAAAAATACGTTTTCTATATATCGCGCAAAATCATATTCACGAATTTACTATTGAGATAGGAGGCATTGACCTAATCCTAATACCAACGTCGTCGTCGTCGTCGTCGTCTTATTTATGCACCAACAGGGTTCTCGTTCTGCTCAGGGGGTTCCGCGCGCCGCGTTTTCGCAGTTCACATCGAGCGAAGACCTTAACGGCTTTCAATTTCCGTTGGCCATCAATATTATTTAGTTTAGTTTGGACCACCCCTCCCTCCACCTACACC